TTTTTTTTTTTAATTTTCAGCCGTGTTGCGTGGCACGTGGGTCTTAGTTCCCCAACCAGGGATCGAACCCACGCCCCCTGTAGTGGAAGAGCGGAGTCTTAACCATCAGACCGCCAGGGAAGTCCCAGAAATTCATTTTTTGGTTTGCTTTCTATATCTTATACCACTTATTTCCATAAAATATTTTGAGTATTAACACATTATCGGCCAGGGGATTTCTGCAGAAACTAACGCCTGTGCCTGTAATACGTCTCTGGTCAAAAATGTGTTAAGAGAATACTAAACCCCCAATTTAAATATGTAGATGTAATCTTTCTTTTGAATCATGTTTGTATAGTTTGGAAGAAAAAATTTAAAACTAAAAAAGTAAAGTAGGATCAATTAGGGATCACACATAAAGGAAAATTAACATGTAATCATAATTTTTTTTGTTTCGTTTAGATTCATGAAAATGAGTTTGTATATGTACCCAAGTTTGTACACATACAAAAATAAAAGTACTGTGGAGGCTACAAATTATATTTGATCTGTTAAGCTCTAAGCTTTATAATACCTAAATCACATTAACTCTCCAAATATTCCTGGCTATACACAACCCTTGGATTATTCTTTGATTAAAAAAAAAATCCCTTTAACCTCAATATGGCTCATATCCCATGTTTCTTTTCTTAGTCTAGTCCATCTTCGTAATCAGAAAAAATTAGAGTAGTTTAATGTTTTCCCACTTCTAAGTCCTCACTGTACCTGGCAGGATGGTTCTATACATAAATGCAAAGTGTTGTTTAAGCCATGGGTGGCCAAAGTGGTTGATGTCAAAGTGCCTCTGAACAAGAAACATATACTGGAAGAGTGATCTAGTGGTGTAGCTGCCATATGCAACTCCTTCATAGAGGGAGCCGTCTGTCACCTCTCGGAGCAAGACAAGAGACTTCTCCATGATGGTCAGAACTTGTTTGGTCCATAAGTAAGCTTCTTGAAGATACCCTGAAAGATGAAAACACATGGAAACAATGACTAAGGCTGTAACAAACTAAAAACAAAAATATGGCCAAATAAAACCCTCTGAGTTATCTGACCAGTTTATACTGCAAATTGCATTTTGGAAACCTCTCACTTATCAACATTATAAATAACAGCCTGCTAGTCCAGGTTTATGATGAGTCCATGATCTAAGTTAAGAAGTTCTTGAATACAGGTCATTTATTAATTAAAGACAAACCTTTAAATAAGTATCAGTCATTTCATAATCTTTAATAAACTGAAACCACACCATATCTAAGATTACAAACTGTACATACTTTATGTCTGCAAGAAAGGATCTGTACATTGAGACTTTTACTCAATTTTTCTAGAAAACACTGAAAATATTTTTGAAGTTTTCCGCTTCACAAAAACTGTCACCATTATTTTACAGAATTTTTAACGAGCTGCAAATACAATAAATGCTACATGAATATTCTCCAACGTGTCCTGTTCTTAGAAGACAATACCTCATCCTTTACGTGGTTTTAGATTCCACAGCATTGGAAAAGGCAGCACAGTGGGGTTGGAGAGACCATTGGAGTGGCAATCTAAAGGTGACAAAAATCAACTGGGAGTCCCTAATCTACCAAAAACGAGCCACATGATTTTGTTCAAGCACTTCTTCAACCTGCCACATTTTTCAATTTCCCCAGCTGAAAATTAAAGGTCTAAAATTTTTTCTAAAATCCTTTTGACGCGAAAATGCTATCTTCCTATAATTCTTGTGAGACCAGCGTTCAGGCAACAATAACAAGTCCTCACATCTCGTAACGTTTATAATTCACACAGCACCGAACATAATCTTACTTAATCCTTTTAACAACTCAATTATGCATTATTACCCCAAAATTACAGAAAGGTTGACTTGTCCTCTGGCATATGACTAAAAATGAACAGAACTTTGATCTGAACCTAGGTCTTTAGATTTAAGGTTTGTTTTGTTTGCTTGTATTTAAAATACACAACCCCTAAGGATAAAATTAAGCTCACTGCCTCCTAATGAGTGGACTTTTGTTGTATCACTCCCATAGACGTGCGTGTGATCACCCATGCTGAACCCTCTACCACAGTCTACTAGGTGTGCTGGGGATGGGGGCTTCCAGAGGCCCAGGTACCACCAGGTACCTCCCAGCCTAAATCCAAGGTTCCAGGCTAAGTAAGACCAAGCTCTCATCTCATGGGGGTGCAGCACCATTTTCAGGCTCTGCTGTGCAGAGGTTACTGTTAATTGTACACTGGTTCCTTCTCCCATCCAGCTCCACCCCTGACCTGCCAGCCTTCTGCATAGTTTTCAATTTCCATTAGTCACCAGAGTTTAAAATCTCAATCATCCTCATCTTTTTTCTCTCTATATCCTCCATCTCCAATCAGATACCAATGTGACTGATGTTTAAAATTAGAACTGCTACTCACTGCTCCCCAGATATTACCTGATTTTCCTTATAAAAACCCTATTCATGAGATGAGGCAATGTCTACCTTTGTAAACTTCAAATCTGTCAATACAAGGTACCAATATTGTTGTTACTGATGCTCTGCCCTGTATTTTTTTCCATCATCCATACACGTTGCCTGGAATGTTCATTATTTTCAGTTATCCATATCCTATCCATCCTTCAACGTTTCATGAACCATCTCAAACTCACCTAAAGAACCTTGTTCTCCTGAATTCAAACTTAACACACTCGTTGGATATTTAATCCTAACTTCATGATCTCCCTTATTTCATTCCGTGGTAATATTAAAAGTATGGTGTAGTCATTTAAACATCTCACACCTGTCTTCTTTCCAACTGATTTGTAAACTGCATACGTGTGACCCTGTGGGCCCTGTATCCTAAGCCTTAAGACAGGGTTAGCAGAACAGAGGAAAAACCCTAACTCTCTCACTGCTGAAATTTCATCTGAGTCCAGTAGGAGCTACACCTGACTAAGCTGCCTCAGTCAGTATCTACAAGGCTGCTCTGAGAACACGGAATGATTGGCACAGTGCGGCTGAGGTAGCTCCTACAGTTAGAGCGAGGCTGCCAAGAAAGCCGGGGCCGTAAGTCTGATTATTAACTGAGATGTGCAGGACCAGAGATTTCACTCCTTCTTTTGTCCCATCTTCTTAGAAATGTGTGTGCTGCTTATGGAATGGCTCTGGGAGAGTGCATCCCAGAGCAACCCATTACTTTACTCAGAAAACAAAGGCATGTGAAAACTCCTGCCAGAAGAAAATTCAAATTTTGACCCAATGCGAGCCAGTATTTTAGGTGCCTGCTTAATATCTGGAACAATTTTGTCTACTGTGAAGAATGAAGAAATAAGCTCTATTCCTGTTGGTAAAGAACTAAAATTTATCTAAGGAAATAAAACTGTGCTAGACTAAAACTCAAGGCCCCAAGCTGCGATCCAGCTCACTCCAAGGTTCTTTCCACCAGTTCATGATGCTGTCTTTCCACAGGCCTGTGGATTTATAAATGGTCTGATGGTAGGTGTTCACATGGCTTAACCTCTTGACTTTTAAAATTTCATTTGTTTTTGTGAGAGTGGGGGGCAAAGGGAGCTAGCATGAAAATTTACCCTCTTAATCAAGCTTTCCTTAAGTTACTAAAATTGAACTTCTATTCTGAGAGAGGTAACAAAATACAGTGGAAAGACAATGAAGTTTGAGTTTGTCTAGAACTGGGTCCCAATCCCAGCTACCTTATATGGTTGAGGTGAGAATTAAATAAAATATGGACAAGGATTAGCACATGCCATAGGCTCAATTAATTTTAGTTTCTTTTCTTCTAAGACCTAATTAAAAGTGATGGTTCATATGACAAGGGAGAAAGGTAGGCTTGGGTAGAATCTGATGCTGGATAATGTGCAAAACGCTTACTAATTCTTATGGGGAATATAATCAAGAGTTAAACTCTTTTAGATGTGCCAGTTATGAGTATATATTTAATTCTAATAACTTACTATGACCTTAGGGTTGTTTTTCTTAAACATAATCTTATTTAGTCATTTATAGACTTCCACAGGAGTTGTCATGAAGTCAGAATTACAAGAACAAAGAAAATGCAATATTAGCAATTACATAATACAATAAGGTAAAGCAGCTATACGATCCACAAAAGTCAATTCCAAATTTGACCTGAATGATGTAGACTGATTGTTTTAAAGTCTTTAGAGGGACAAAAAAAGTAGTGCTGTAATGATACACACCTGTGTATGAGGACTATTCAGTTCATATAATAAACCATCTGTTCAGCTTTTAAGAACCCTATCCAGGCTGGCTGCCTTCACTGTCAAAAATCTTTGGAAAAAGGAAGATTCATCACTGATCCTGTGCTGTAAGGATATGGCTTGGGACAATCAAACGCCGTACTCAAGTAACCTTCAGGCTAATATAACAAGCAGAAATGAGGAAAGAAATGTCTCTCAACTCTTCAAGAGGTGTCCCAGATATCACTTCATCTTATGGGCTTAGTTAGGATCCAAGCATGAACATATACTTAGACTAGTTATATAAATGCTTTGCTCACAACATGGTAACTACAAGTGATGTCAGCTCAGGCATCCCCTCGGTGTGTCCGTACGCACCTTGATTCATCAGGACCAGGCTTCCTGTGAGCAAGGCCATGCAGTTGGTGGGCTGATGATTGTGCAGGTATTGAAATCCCCACCCTCTCCTGTATGAAGTTTCATACATATATCCCGAGGCATTGGCAATCACTTCAAGAAACCTCTCCTGTTGTGTCTTGCTCAGGTAGTTGTACAAGAAGTCATAGGCAGTGGCAAAACCAACCAGGGAGTGAGCAAGCGGGACTTCATCCCAAGGAGCATCTTTCACCAACCTGTAAAGGAAAAGAAGCCACGCAAATGAGTGCCAGCAGGCTCACAGCCCTCATCACACTTTTAAAGTGTCTATTTCTCAGAACTAAAGGACACAAGTGGAGATACAATCCAAAAGGTTTAACGACACAAAAGATAGATTTCCCTCCACATAAGACACAAGCATAAAGTGTGTCTAATGTGAAAATTACAGAGTACACACTTTTCTCTCTCCAGCTTCTGGCAACATCAAGATGTTGAGATTTTTCTACTTTTGACTTTTTGTTTTGTTTTGTTTTGGGTTTTTTTTGCGGTACGTGGGCCTCTCACTGTTGTGGCCTCTCCTGTTGTGGAGCACAGGCTCCGGACATGCAGGCTTAGCGGCCATGGCTCACGGGCCCAGCCGCTCCGCGGCATGTGGGATCTTCCCGGACCGGGGCATGAACCCATGTCCCCTGCATTGGCAGGCGGACTCTCAACCACTGCGCCAACAGAGAAGCCCACTTTTGACTTTTTTCTTTACTCTTCATGGGAGGTAGAAGAATATATTCAAAGAGATCGAAAGCACATAACGTCACGGCAGATCAAGATTCTCTGGAGTACCCATTAACTAGTGCTTGCCCTCCCCTTTCTACCTGAAGTAGGGTTCTCAGTTCTGTTCCATGGTTGCTGTGCTGAAACTGTCCAACATGTATGTATATCCTATCTTATTTCCCACGGGCTGGTCAAGGTGGAGGTACCACGGTGTACAGTTTGGGACCTCTCAATCTAGACAGACCCGCTTGGTCAATGCCATGATGAGGAGAGTGGCTAAAACGCTGGTGTAAGGGAGTAAAATGAGCTGACTCTAACTCAGATTTCTGCGTCTCATTTTTTCTCATAGAATGAAGTGCACTGCCTTTAAGATTCTTCAAGTACTTTTCAGGGAAGTCTATAAAAGCTGATCTGTGAAGTATTAAACTGTCATTTTCTCGGAAACCACATTTCTGCTTGACTTGCTACATAATTCTGCAAGTACATTAATAGTGTTTGGCCTGCATGACACAGGAAGCGAAAAAGGATCTTTCGCAATCACAGTTCTAGGGAATTATCCAGAAAACCCTCCCTATCTGTTCAGGATGTATTTGAGTAATCTCTAAAAGAGGGAAACAAATGAAGGGTGTGCTGTACTTGCGGGAGGTGGAAGAAAGCTCTCAATTAGGGATTAAACTAAAGCTTAACATTTCTATGCCAGAGCCTCTTTTTGGCCAACTAGTGAAGCCTCAGCCTCTTTCTCAATATGTTAACATATAATAACATATTAACATATAATATCTTATATGTTAATTCATAACATATAATACCTAGGGATACCAGGAAAGGTATTACTTTGAAATATAACTATCAGTACAGATATTTTTAAAAATTGTGATATATGTGCTTCTTTATTAAGGCATTAGAATACAAGATTTAATGGCAGGGATAGTAACTATGATAATGTATAAGTAGTGATGAGCATAAATAATATTTTGAGATGTACAGAGTAACTGAATGTGACGTGAAAATATCTGTGACAAAGTTACAGGTTCTCCTGATATTACTATAGTTGGTTATCCAGATTTATGATTTAGAAGAGATGCTAAAATTTCAGTTAGAGTTAGTGAAAATTAAAGATGCAGTATTTCTCCCATACAAACCTCACAGACCCTAGGTTAAGAATACTTAAGATGTTCTGAGAAACTACCCGTTCTAGACTGTGCTCCTCTTTCAGGAGTTTATATTAAAGACCTGATCTTAGTAAGGCCTTCTCTGCTCACTCTGTCAGAACTTCAGCATTACTCCCCAACTCACAGTATTTCATTTGCCTTCCTCACTTTTTTGTCCTCTTAGCGTTTAAGTATGTATATGTATATGCATATGCATAGTATCCCCTACTAGAATTGAAGTTCTACGAGGGCAGGGTTATCTTTTCTTCTCTGTTGTATTCACTATTGGATCCCCAATCCTACAACAGTGTCTGGCACACAGGAGACTTTCAATAAATATTTTGGGGAAGAAAGAAAAAAATGAAGGAACAAGCCTATAAAACTAGGCTACACCGTTGACAATGAATATGTGATGATTAAGAAATCAGGAATTTGGAAGAATCCCTTGGTATTTAACAGTAACTTCAGTGTTTGGTTAGCTGTGCTAGTGATACAGTCTGGTGCTAAAATGACTAAAGTTGCTGAGCTTCTTAACCAGTTGGCCATGGACAAAGCTGCCTTGCCAGTCAGCTGGCTAGTGTGTGTACTGGTTGTAAACAGACTATGAAGAGTGTAAATTAATTCCCTACTTCTAGGAAAAAAACCAACTCAGACTGCAAGCTCACTGCCAGGGAGTTAGAAACACAATCTTCACTGACTTATAGTGATTGGGGAAGCAGGCAGAGACTCCAAGGCATTTTTTTCCCCAGCTCTGTGTCTTTGCACCATGTCACCTATAAATGACAGCACATACACGTAGCCATGATAAAGCTGGCATCAATGAGCTGCTACCATCTACTGAGCCCTGACACGTCTGATACACCAGTGAACTTATTTTTTACAGATAAAAGAACATTTAATATAATTGTTCTTCAGGAAATAGTACTATGCAATTTGTGAGAAAATTTCCAAGTTCCCACGTATAGTTGCTTACTCCAAGCAGTTTCCAATTCAACAAAATCCTAGCCCACTGATTTAAAAAAAAAAAAAGAGTTCCTGGTACCATCAGGTGCATCACTATATCATTATGAAATCTGATCTGTAATAGCTACATTTCTAAGACGTTACCTAGATTCTTTACCAATACATTCTTACCCAGCTTCATCTTCAGATACAGAGAGTAATTATGGATGAGACTATATTTTACTGTCATGGAAACCAAAGGAAATTTGCTTCTAGCTCATGAATAGCAGCAAAGGAACTATCGTATTCAATGTGATCCTAACTAGCAGCTACTAAAACTACTAAAGAAGCATGTTAAGAATCACAAAAAAAGATACAGGTATTAATATATGAATTTTATTTCAGCTTAAAATATTTATATGTACATATTTACCAATCTTTTGAAGGGGAGCTAAAAGCCTTGTCTTTGAATGTGGGTCTACGGATCAGTGTCATTGTTTTTCCCTGCAAAGAACACATATAACACATCATCACAATTTCCAGCCTTGGTTTCTTTAATATAGGAAGAAATTAAAGATACTTGTGAAGGAATATAGAATCCTTCCAGACTTTTATGAGTTTTTCCCTAAACTTTTACTAATCTCATCCACATTAAATTATGACAGCAATTTTTTATAGTAAGTCATTCCAAAGCATTTAAGTTGGTTTTGGAACTATTAATTCTTTTTTATAAACTCACACTTATTCTATTTGTATAATATTATTAAAATTGTGTAATTACAGGTATTAGTGAAAGTGGCATAAACTGGTTTGAGAACAAATACAACTGACATTTGCTAAGCACATAATTCCATGGGTGGCAACAGAAATTAATGGACACAGCCTTGACATTCAGCAGTCTCTGAGAGCTGCTGCCAGTTATACAAGGAACGGAGGTTAATTTCATTGGCAAGTCAGTTAAGAGGTGGTTAGTTAAGAAAATTAAGTAAGTTAAGAGGAGGTTAGTTAGGAAAAGTTTTACTGTATTCCTTTTTATAAGCTATACTTTCCCCTGTTTAGAGAACTATTCTTAAATTAAGGTCCACGGACCCCTGGGGTCTCTGAGACTCTTTCAGGGGATCCATGACTACAAATTATTCTCATAATAATATAAAGATGTTATATGTTGATATTTGCACTAATGGTGCAAAAGTACTAGTGGGTTAAAAATGTTGGCATCTTAGCAAGCCAGGCAGGGGCACTGAACTGTTCTAGTAATCCTTGTATGATTCTGCATACTGCCGTGCACTCTAAGTTTAAAAAAAAAAGCCAGTTTCACTTAAGAATATCCTTGATAAAGTGGTAAAAATTATTAATTTTATAAAATCTCAACCTTTTTAGTTCATATCTTTCTAATAGCCCATGTGATGAAATGGGAAGTATGTAAAAAGCACTATCCGTAGCAAAGTAAATAACTATCACGAGGAAGAAATTGTGCATTTAGTTGAGAGCTGAACTAGCTCCTTGCTTTTTCACGAAACATCGTTTTTACGTCAGAGAATGACCAACTGACAAATTACAGTTTTTTAGACTTGGGTATTTAAGTGGAAGTCTTTTTGAAACAAGGAAGCCTGCCAGTTCAAGAAAAACTGAAAGGTTTTGTTGACAATGACAAAATTTGAGCTTTCAAGCAAAAAAAAAAAAAAAAAAGAATTTTGGAAAAATTGTATTGATAACAAGTGTGATTTATTTTTATATTATATAACTAAATGCATCAACATTTGGAAGATGGGAATAACTCAGTGAATAAACATTCAAATAAAAAAGGCATATTACAAAACCATACAAAGATAAAAGATTCATTATAAGTGCAAAGCATACTAATGGATTTTTTTACCAATTAAAATATATGAGGAATTTTATTAACTAAGATGGTTTCAGATTCCACATTGAAACTAACTTTTATAATCCGGATTCCACATAGAACTAACTTTTACAAAACTACCACTTGTCAAGTTCTAGTACAGTAGCAAAGAAAACTGTCAAAATTATCTGAAAAGACTCTTCAAATACTCCTCCCTTTTCAGTCAGATGTCTGTGTGAAGCTGGATTTTCTTCATATTTCTTCATATTTTCAACTTAAACACTACACTGCAACAAACTGAATACAGAAGAAGATATGCAAGATTTGCAAAAGTATAAAACAATGATCTCCTTCACACTAAATATTTTGTCTCCAAAAATCTCGTTATTTTTTGCCTAAAAATATGTTATCTATGTTAATATGAAATGGATTTATCTTTCAAGAGAATGAATAAATATTTTTAAAAAATTTTTAGCTTTAATTTCTAGTATGGTAAATTTCAATAGGTATAGCCCACATAAACAAAGCTCTTTGATGTCTGATGTCCTCATTA